CCTCCTCTCTCCCTCCTCCCTCCTCCTCCTCCCTCCTCCCCCCCCTCCTCCCTCCTCCTCCCTCCTCCCTCCATCTCCTCCTCCTCCCTCCTCCTCCTCCTCCTCCTCCTCCTCCTCCTCCTCCTCCTCCTCCTCCTCCTCCTCCTCCTCTTCCCTCCTCCCTCATCCATCCTCCCCGTTCCCTCAGCATCATCATCAGCAGCATCAGCAACATCAATCATCATCATCAGCAGCCTCATCATCGTCATCATCATCAAGATCAGCATCAACATCATCATCATCATCATCATCAGCAGCAGCAGCATCGTCAACAGCAGCAGCATCAGAATCAGCATAATCAGCAGCAGCAGCATCATCATAATCCTCATCCTCCTCATCATCATCATCCTCCTCATCATCATCATCATCATCATCATCATCATCAGCATCAGCATCAGCATCAGCATCATCATCATCATCATCAGCAGCATCAGCATCATCAGCAGCATCAGCATCATCATCATCATCATCATCATCATCATCAGCATCATCATCATCATCATCATCATCATCATCATCATCATCATCATCATCATCATCATCATCATCATCATCATCATCATCAGCATCATCATCATCATCATCATCATCATCATCATCATCATCATTCATCATCATCATCATCATCATCATCATCATCATCATATCATCATCAGTATCAGCATCATCATCATCATCATCATCATCATCATCATCAGCATCATCATCATCATCATCATCATCATCATCATCATCATCATCATCATCATCATCATCAGCATGAGCATCATCGTCATCATCGGCAGCAGCAGCGTCATCACCACCAGCATCATCAGCATAATCAGCATCAGCAGCATCAGCATCATCATCATCAGCAGCAGCATCAGCAGCATCATCATTATCATCAGCATCGACATCATCAGCATCGTCAGCATCAGCATCCGCAGCATCATCAGCAACAGCATCATCATCAGCATCAGCATCATCACCATATCATCATCATAAGCATCAGCAACAGCATCATCATCAGCATCATCAGCATCATCATCAGCATCATCATCGTCATGATCATCTGCATGATCCGCGTCATCAGCACCATCGTCATCATCATCAGCATTAGCATCAGCATCATAATCATCAGCATCATCAGCATCGACAGCAGCACCATCATCAGCATCAGAATAACCAGCATCAGCATAATCAGCATCAGCATCAACATCATCATAATCAGCATCATCATCAGCAGCATCATCAGCATCAGCATCAGCATCAGCATATCATCCACATCATCAGCAGCGTCAGCATCGTCATCAGCATCAGCATCAGCATCATCATCAACACCATCATCAGGAGCGTCAGCATCATCATCATCATCATCATCATCATCATCATCATCATCATCATCCGCATCAGCATCATCATCAGAATCCTCAGCATCAGCATCATCATCATCGTCATCAGCATCATCCTCATCATCAGCAGCATCAGCATCAGAATCATCATCAGGATCGTCATCAGCATCATCACAGCATCATCAGCATCATCATACTCCTCCTCCTCCTCGTCGTCCTCCTCCTCCTCCTCATCATCATCCGCCTCCTCCTCCTGCTCATCTTCTTCCTCCTCCTCCTCCTCCTCTTCCCCCTCCTCTTCCTCCTCCTCCGTCCTCCCTCCTCCCTCCTGCCCCCTCCCACCTCCCTCCTGCCTTCTCCCTCCTCCCTCCTCCCGCCTCCCTCCTTCCTCTCCTCCTCCTTTTTGTTCGCTCGCTCGCTCGTTCGCTTTCTCTGAGGGCTAATAAGTCCGAAGCGCGGCCATAAAAGATAAGAGACCACCGAAAAGAGTACCCCCTAACAAGCATGCGCAAGAGGGGCAAATTAGCGAGACTGATTAAGTGACACGCCTCACATGCCTGGCCTGGGCAACACTGGCCAGAATAGCTACTGGAAGCGAGGCCAACCGCAGAGGACGTTAATTCCCCAGGAGGATCCTTCCTGGGCGCCAGATGACCACAATGGTGCTGGTAACGCCTCCCAGGATTGCAAAGGTCCAGGGCACCATAACACGAATTAATCGAGAGGGAGGGAATCAGATGAGGAGAACCAACGATGCATGGATCCATATCACAATGCTGAACCCCACAGCCTAACAAAGGGTCCTTACATCAGGTAGGTCATGCAATGGGGGAAGGGCGCAGTCGCACCCATAGGGGGTGAAGAAGGAACGGCACATTAGACAACAGGCATCGGAACCCGAATTCCAAGCTGGCCTGCAACTGTACGTTCTAGTATGTCACCAGTAGCGCGTCCTTTTCTCACAGGCTCCTTTTACCCCAGGAGTTGGGCGTTGCAACGCACGCTCCTGCCATCCCGCACTTGACTCCAAGAAAACGCAGGGGGGGACTAGCAACAAGGCGGCAACCCTCCCCATCCTGTCATTCTCCCTCCAGGTGTCCACATCACTGGCGCCAGCGGTTTGTGCGAAAACGCGGCCCCACGTTGTGACCCTGCGCGCCAAGCGAGCGAACAGTTTCTAAATGACCGTGAGAAGCTGCATTGACCTCATGCCCGAGGTACGTCACGGCGCCCATCGTCCCCGAGAGGGGTGCCCCTGGCAGCCCACAGAGGAGGAGAGGCAGGGGGAGGATCAAACATCGGGGCCCTGGGAAGGCCCACCTTGGGCTCTCTCCAGGCTGCTTCACAGGCGGCCTGCAGGGCGATCCTGGCACGCGCCAGGCAGGGAGGGTCGCGGTAGCGTCATGGTGGCCACCACTTCTGTGGAGACCGGCCGCGGTCTTCCTTTCCTGGACGGCGCACTCCAGCTCCTCCTGGGTGGTTCGGAGCGGGGATGGGAGCCAAGTGGAGAAACAAGCTAGCGAGCTGTGGAGAGGTTTGACAAGTCTGCTGCCACCCCAGAGCTCCTAGCAGCAAAAGGGGCATCTCGTGCCAGTGGCGATTTGCTCGGCAGCGTCTCCAGGTCTATGGGCTCTGGCCAGCTGTGTTGCGAGCAGGCTGGCAATCTTGGCCACAGGTAACACCTTCAAACGCACCGGTGTGGCGGATCAGGCGCAGCTTCAGTGAGTAACTGGTCTCTGAGTCTGAGTGGGTAATGGAGACAGAAAAGATGCAACTTTCCTTTATTGGCTCAGCCGAAAAATGAGTGACTGGAGTCTCGCCCAGCACTGCCTCCCCCGAACGGGTCGACGGCCCTTGTGCATCGTTACCAATTTCTTGATGTGAATCACAACTGCTGACTTGAGACGTGGAATTGGGAAAGAACTGTTCACTTGCCCGATTCCAAGCTGATCTGCATGACGACTGGCGTCACGAGATAAATCCAACAACCTTCTTCTAAAAACTCAGACTGCGCACTGAATGGGTCAAAAACGCTTAGTTGCCTTCGCAGTCTGAGATGCGATACTGAGGAAGTCTTGGCGGCCTTCTCTCGCCAAACGTGTGAAATAGAGGTCGCCAAAGCCATAGGCACTAGCAACCACGGCAAAAAAAGGCCCCTCAGCCACTCAAGATCTGGGCGGAGGAAAAAACACCCTCGACCCAACGGAACATCAAGCAACACCCTGAGAAGGGTGGTGCTCCTCGCAAGATCCTTGGTAGCAGCCTCAGTCTGGCCACCGATCAAACTTGCTGCACAGGAAGCGTGCTGATCGACACATGCACATATGACCCTTCGCCGGTCGTGCTACGGGCAATCTGGGCATCCCGCCCCATGCATTTGCAATGGAAAGGGATTGTGAACCTGCGCGTGCGTCACTGCAGCGAATTTTGCGCAGCAGGTCCACAGCAGCGCACGGTGAAACAACTCTCTTGACGGGCCTCAGCGCTGCAGGACCTGCCCCAACTCTCTCACAAGAAACTCGGCTGCCACGCCGCCTGGATCCATAATCTGAGCTCCAAGCAACTTATGCGTACGTGTGGTGAGTAGCTTGAAAAAGCTCAGTACTTCCAAGCACTTCCCCCTCTTGCCTGCGACACTTCACGGCTGCTTTCCTAGCTCCAATGCTTCGGAAAGTTATGCAGCTGACTTGGTGAAATCGGTCTTGAAGCCACGAGCGGTAGCATGAATGTAGATGATCTCAGCAAGGCGTAGCAACCTGGCTGGTAGCTCATCTGTGGCTCCTGCTGCGCGAGGTGTGACGAGGGAAGTGCTGGAGTGCGGCGTGCCCCTGTCAAGGTCAGAGCCAACAGGGGCCACGGATGGGGGTGTCTCCTGGGTAAGCCCTTCTTCCCGAGCTTGCGCTTCGATGTTCCCCTGGGCCCTGGCGAACATCACGTTGCAAACGTCGGTGGCGGAGATCGCTCCTGGCCCGCAACCCCTGGCAGGAGCCGCAAAACCTCGCGCCCCTCTAACACGCCAAAGGCTCCCCTCTTGTCTAGAGGCCTCCTAGATGGGGTCGGAGTAGATGGGGTCGGAGAGTCGCGCCGCATCGCCGATACATCGGCGATGCGTCGGCGATGCATCCGTGTTACACCGGCGATGCATCGGCGACGTCGACGTGAAGCCAATCGGGCCCCGCATCGAGCCGCATCGGCGATGCATCGGCGGTGCGGCTCATTCCTCCGATCCTATCTACTCCGACCCCATCTGGGAGGCCTAAATTGTCTCCCCCTCATATAGGCAAGGAGGCGCGGGAGCATGTCAACGTCATCCCGGGGGGGGGGGGCCCGCGGCAAGCAGGGCCAAGAGGCCGGCTTGGAGAAGGAGGGCGGGCCCAATGGTGGCCTGCACTAACGAGGCCTGGATATGCTTCGCCCTCGCGCGGCTTATCGTCACCCGCACCCGCGTCACGCACGACGACAACCGAAACAGGGAAACCAATCTCTTGAGTGGGGAACTCCGTCTCATTTTGATATCACCGCCACTACCCCAACATACGACCACTTCTTCGAGTGCTCCTACCCGTGATACTCTTCCTGCCACTCCTGATCATCCCACGTATCTGTCCTCCATTCTCCATGTCCTCCTAATCCTCAAGAAGGGCTCGTCGATATGAATCTTACTGTCCCAGCCAATCAGGGCGCAGGGGACAACCGCGCAAGACTATTTTATTCTTTGAATGAAACACAGCCAAAATCACGGTGGTTGCGACCCTGGAAGAGGGAAGAGCAAAAAGAGAGCTGTCGGATGAGGCCAAGGAGGAAGCCAGGAGGAGGAGGAGGGGGAGGAAAGCACAGAGGAGATATCAGCTTGCCCTGTATCTCCCGCTCGTGCGCCTCCCCCTTCTCGTCATCGTCATCATCATCAGCAGCAGCATCAGCATCAGCATCATCATCATCAGCATCATCAGCAGCAGCAGAAGCAGCATCAGCATGCCCATCCTTATCATCGTCAGCATCATCAGAATCAGAGTCATCATCATCATCATCATCATCATCATCATCATCATCAGCATCAGCATCATCATCATCATCATCATCATCATCATCATCATCATCATCGTCATCATCATCATCATCATCATCACCACCACCACCACCACCATCATCATCATCATCATCATCATCGTCAGCATCATCAGCATCATCTTCATCATCATCATCATCATCAGCATCATCATCAGAATCGTCATCGTCATCACCATCAGCATCATCAGAATCAGCATCATCATCATCACCATCATCATCATCATCAGCAGCAGCAGCATCATCATAATCATCAGCAGCAGCAGCATCAGCAGCAGCATCACAATCATCATCAGCACAACCACCACCACCACCACCACACCCAGCATCATCATCACCATCAGCATCATCATCATCAACAGCATCATCATCATCATCATCATCATCATCATCATCATAATCAACATCAGCATCAGCATCAGCATCATCATAATCATCGGCAGCAGCAGCAGCATCAGCAGCAGCATCATCAATAGCATCAGCATCAGCATCAGCATCAGCATCATCATCATCGGCATCATCATCAGCATCAGAGTCATCTTCAGCATCATCAGCATCAGCATCATCATCACCAAAATCCTCATCATTACCATCATCAGCAGCATCAGCATCCGAATCATCAGCAGCATCAGTGTCATCATCATCATCATTATCAGCATCAGCATCCTCGATATCATCATCAGCATCATCGTCGACATCATCGTCGCCATCATTACCATCATGAGCAGCATCACCACCACCATCATCATCATCATCAGCAGCAGCAGCATCATCATAATCATCGGCAGCAGCAGCAGCATCAGCAGCAGCATCACAATCAGCATCATCACAACCACCATCACCACCACCACCACCACCACACCAATCATCATCATCAGCATCATCAGCATAATCAACATCAGCATCAGCAGCAGCATCAGCATCACCAGCATTGGCAGCGGCATCAGCATCAGCAGCATCCTCATCATCATCAGCAGCATCAGCATCAGCATCAGCATCATCATCATCGGCATCATCATCAGTATCAGAGTCATCATCAGCATCATCAGCACCATCATCCTCATCATCATCACCATCACCAGCAGCATCCTCATCATCCGCATCATCATCAGCATCAGTATCATCATCATCATTATCAGCATCATCATTCTCGATATCATCATCAGCATCATCGTCGACAGCATCGTCGCCATCATTACCATCATCAGCAGCAGCATCATCATCAGCACCATCAGTTGCTGCAGCAGCACGAACAGCAGCGGCATCACCATCAACGTCCTCATCAACATCATCATCATGTCCCGTATCATCATCGTCGTCGTCATCATCAGCATCATCATCATTCTCATCATCATCATCAGCAGCAGCAGCGTCGTCGTCGTCATCGTCATTGCCATTGCCAGCATTGTCATCATCGTCATCATCGCCATCGTTATTGACACCATCGTCATCATCAGAAACAGCATCATCATCGCTCACGTCGTAGTCGTAATCACCACCACCACCCTCATCATCATCACAATCCCCATCCCTCCTCCTCACTCTCCTCATACTCGTCCTAGCGCCTGTGATATCCGCCTCTACTCCCTCCTGCTCCTACTCCTCCTCCCCCTGCTCCTCATCATCACCATCATCATCAGCAGCACAGCATCAACCTCCCTCATTCCGCCTGAGAAGGAAGAGGAGAAGGAGAGAAAGGAAGCCGAGGAGGAGCAGGTCGGTTCGGAAGGAACGCTTGGGGGCAGCACCTGCGAAGTGGGACCTGACCAGAGGGGGCAGGGAGAGGGCAGGAGGCGGAGGAGGAGGAGGACTTGTGTAAACCCAAGAGTCGTCAACGATGTTGGGAATAAACCCTCCCACCAAGCTCCCTCTTTACAGGCCCCTACAACGGTTCATTTCCACTGAAGGAACTGCCTCGTTGGAAGACAACCGTTTGAAGATCCTGAAGCATGCCGAAACAGTGGTCTATGGATTCCAACGCCACGGATCAACCAGACTGTTGCGCCCTGACAATCCTGAATCGCACCGAAACGCCATTCCTGGGACTTCAACACCGCGAACGAAC